GGTTAATGTGTTACCTGTCCTGTAGTGTTGGGTTAGTGTGTTACCTGTCCTGTACTGTTGGGTTAGTGTGTTACCTGTCCTGTAGTGTTAAGGTTATTGTGTTACCTGTCCTGTACTGTTGAGGTTAGTGTGTTACATGTCCTGTAGTGTTAAGGTTAATGTGTTACCTGTCCTGTAGTGTTGGGGTTCGCTCCGTTCTCCAGCAGCAGCTCGGTGACCTCCACACGGCCTTTATAAGACGCCCAGGTCAGAGCCGTCCAGCCGCCCTGAAACAGAATCACACAGTAGGTCATTCATGTGTTCATCTATTGATTATTATTATTAGGGCCCGAGCAACCGACAACGTCGGGCCAGCGAAGGCCCTTGTCAGTTTTGTTTTATTTATTAATTTTTTTCAGATTTTTATTTTTCCACTTTGGGTTAATATTTGGAGTATTTGCCATACTTCAAAACTCACCAAATTTTGCAGACTTGTCAGGCCTGGTGAAAATAGCCATCTGACATAGGTTGCATATTTGTGTGTAAAATGGCTCTTGGATTATTCTTTACACATAGGTGTCATCATGATGTGTAAGCAGAATAGGTGTTACAATTTACATGCTAAAAAACAAGACCTTTGTGATTAAAAGTTATCAAAATCGGGAGTTTTCATCGAAGAACCGTGACGTGGCGTGGCGGCCATTTTGCCTCATTGTTTATGAAAAAATAAGTTGTTATAACTCCAAGGTGCATTATCCAATCTGCATAAACCTTCTTATGCATGATGCTACTTCAAGCCTGAACATACTTCAATTGAAAATATTTCAATAACTCATAGCGCCGCCTACTGGCTAAAGGAAATGTCATATTCTATACTTTTATTTATATCTCCTAGCCAGGTGACCTGATGAGTCTCAAATTTGGTAAGGATAGCCTTAAGACATTGATGATGCATCATCATGAATATTGTGAGTTTTCGTTGAACGCTGTTGCCGTGGCGACGCATCGTTCACCATGAAAAAGGAAGCGGATGGTTTAGTAGGTTAGGATGCTCAAAAACTCATGGAACTTTGTACATGTGTCATAGGTCATAGGAAGACATATTTTATATGATTGTTTGGCTTGGCCGTTTTAAATTGCCTCTATAGCGCCCCCTACAATATTTCAAAACAGCAGCCCCAGCGCTACGTTTCAGCTACATGTATGAAACTTAGTAAGCACATGTATCCTATGGAGACTTAAATATACTGTAAGTCTCTTGGGACCATGCTCTAAACCCTACCGGATTTTTCTGTCATTTGTTCATAGATTTTGGCCTATTTCTAGTCGCTATACTTTAACAAACTCCTCCTAGGGACTTTGTCTGATCCTCTTCAAATTTTGTCAGTACAATGTCAAGACCGTTGTGATTAAAAATGATCAAAAGCTTTACGTTTGACGGAATCGTTTAGCCGTAGCGGGCGGCTACTTTATGTGATTCCCCATCAAACAAGCTGATGTAACTCAGCTGGACATGTTCCAAACAGTCCCAAACTTCACATGCTTGATAACACTCATGGCCTGAGGATGTCTACAAGCTGATTCTCACTAATACTCACAGCACCACCTGCTGGTGAAAGGAAATCTGCATTTTGTGATAAACACCTCCGATTTACATGACTTTTACACAATGCGGTTTACATTTGACACAGAGCAACATGATGCATGTTTGCATGTGTTCTGTAGCACCAGGCAGCGGATACAGGAAGCATCGAACTACTTGCAAAGCATCATTTCCAGCATCAGGCGGTCCACGCGGGATTAAAAACGTCTCACTCGGGGACTCGCTGTCCGACGGTCGCGGACGTGTGGGAGGATGCGAGGGCCCGTTCATCGCTGCTCGCAGCTTTAATTATTATTTTTATTCTCTATGTCAGTGAGCTGAGTAAATACAATGTACTTGACTTGAAGGAGGACATTAAGGAGAGAAAGTAAACAGAAGAAACTATGAAAGAAAACGCTTCCTTGTCCATAAACACTGAATAAGTGTGTTTCCTGTTGTGGACTACATGTCCCATGAGTCTTAGCGGCGCCGCCCCACCATGTCTCTGTGCTCGATGTAGGCGCTGTTCTCCAGCAGCTCCTTCGCCACCTCAACGTGTCCTTCTTTAGCTGCTGAGATCAGAGCAGACCAGCAGTCCTGAGGAGAGAGAGAGAGAGAGAGGAGGTTATCATGAGGAGGAGGAGAAGAGAGAGAGAGAGAGAGAGAGAGAGAGGAGGTTGTCATGAGGAGGAAGAGAAGAGAGAGAGAGAGAGAGAGAGAGGATGTTATCATGAGGAGGAGGAGAAGAGAGAGAGAGAGAGAGACAGAGAGAGAGAGGATGTTATCATGAGGAGGAGAAGAGAGAGAGAGAGAGAGAGGAGGTTATCACGAGGAGGGGGAGGAGGGGGAGGAGGAAGAGAGAGAGAGAGAGAGAGAGAGAGAGAGAGGAGGTTATCATGAGGAGGAGGAGGAGGAGGAGGAGGAGGAGGAGAGAGAGAGAGAGGAGGTTATCAGGAGGAGGAGGAGGGGGAGAGAGAGAGAGAGAGGAGGGTATCACGAGGAGGGGG